TGGGACCGACGAGGAATGGAGCGTAATGGAAATTACATACATACATATTTTCTGGGCTTGCAGCCGTGTAACCATCGAAACGGGGACACTGCGTTAATTCACAGAACATCATTTGCTAGTCTTGTCGACATGAACCAAAGAAAAAAAATCAATGGAATGGATACATCATTAAGTTTTAATTGTCTGGTCGGAACATTTTCCGTCGCCCTGTGAATGTTTGAGACAATACTTTACCTTGTTTTCAGCGCATCAGTACAAGTGCTCAGGTTTATTCCGAGTTGGCTTTCGGATGTAGGCATCAGGGGCTTTAACATGATCATTAATCTCGATTGCGTGTATGTAACACTTCAGATTTTGTTTGATCTTCATTTGATTCAGGGGATCGAATCAATTTACAGATAAGGGAAGGGTACTTTAGTACTGTACATGATTTGCGGTGGAGGGCGTTGCTTGGCACCTTTAAACAGGCTGGACCCACTATCGGAGGTACATGAGGATGGGAGAGAAGAATGAAACGGTACCTGTACCTGTACCTGTACCCTGTACCCGCCCATTGGATCTCTCGGAAATAAGGCTTAAGCCTCAAGGTCCCCGCGATCTCTTCAGCCACAATCGTCCCCCACCCCCACATCCGGGCCGTAACATTACTCAGAGGTAAAACTGGGAAAAAAATTATTTTGGTGGTCATACAAAACTTGTGAGCACTCTCTCTAAACCACTTTGCGCCACGTCTCGTTAAGCACTCTGGATCGATTAACACGACGAGCCTGGCTCTTGAAGAGTCCGGGACATCTACATCTTTCTGTTTCAACCCCCCGATTTGTCTATTTCGCACAGCGCATGTCTACAATGACGACCACAGAGGAGAACCCCGCTAGCGCGGGGGAGCGACCTACCAAGCTGCAAGGACGAGCATTCTACGAGTCTATTGGAAGCCCCAAGTTCATCGTTGCGCCTATGGTAGATCAGTCTGAATTTGTAAGTTATTGCTCGATCTGACAATGTGCGAATTGACTGACAACTCAGGCCTGGCGCATGTTGACTCGAAGTTTCATTTCCCCCACCGAACAGAAGAGTCTTCTTGCCTACACACCCATGCTCCACGCTCGACTCTTTTCGCAGGACGACAAGTATCGCAAGGCACACTTCCAATCGGTTAAACCCGACGGCGCAACTCCCTGGCTTGACGGAAACCCTTCTATCGACCGACCGCTATTCGTCCAGTTCTGCGCCAACGATCCAGAAGCGCTCCTTTCTGCCGCTAAGCAAGTCGCCCCTTTCTGCGATGCTGTTGACTTGAATCTCGGATGTCCTCAAGGTATCGCGCGAAAGGGAAAGTATGGTGCTTTCCTACAGGAAGACCAGGATCTTATCTTCCGCTTGATCAACATTTTGCATAAGGAGTTGTCTGTGCCTGTGACAGCCAAGATTCGAATCCTGGACACGAAGGAGGAGACCCTGGCATACGCGCAGAATGTCCTCAAGGCTGGCGCATCCATCCTCACTGTCCACGGCCGACGAAGGGAGCAGAAGGGACATTTGACGGGCCTGGCTGAGTGGAAGATGATTCGATTTTTGAGAGACAGCCTACCTAAGGAGACAGTCATCTTTGCGAATGGAAATATCCTTCAGGAGGGAGATATCGAGAAGTGCCTCGAGGTTACAGGAGCTGATGGCGTGATGAGCGCCGAGGGCAACCTCAGCGACCCAGCTATCTTCTCGAAGCCACCACCCGTCGGAGAGGAGGGACGAGAGTACTGGAGAGGGAAAGATGGAAAAGGGGGTTACAGAGTTGATGCTGTGTTCAGACGATACATGGACATCCTACACGAACACGTTTTTGGAGAGAAGCACATCGAGCGCCGACCACTCTTCATGCCTGGTGATGATACTGAATGGATGAACGAGAGCGAGACAGTTGAGGATGAGCCACCGTCTAAGAAGCGAAGAAAGGATTTAGGCAAGAAGGGAGAACAGGGCCCCAACATGTCAGCCATGCAACCTCACCTTTTCCATCTATTGCGGCACTTTGTCTCCAAGCACACCGACGTGCGAGACATGCTAGCCAAGAGTCGAGCTGGCGACATGGAAGCTTACGAGCGTGTACTATCTGCTGTGGAGCGCAAGGTTGCAGAAGGTCTCATTGAGTACGAGCGCACTAATGGCGAGAGCGTGGCGGAGACACCATTGGCTGAGGGCGAGGAGGATCCCCCCGAAACTGAGAGCTCAGTAGGCACACAAAGGCGATGCCGAAGACCTTGGTGGGTGGTTCAACCGATCATTCGACCTCTACCAAACGAGGCGTTCAAGAAGGGAGCTTTGACTATGAGTAAGAAGGATAAGGTCAAGGCACAGGAACAGAAACAGGAGGAGAAGGGTAAACAGGAAGATATCAAGGCACGAGATGAGGCTTTGGCGGGATAGAGTTATGATTACAATGGGTTTAATAGATGGCGTATAGGGGTGAAATGTTTAGAATAGATTAAAAGACATAGCTTCTCGCAATGATGATTTGGATTCTATATATCCAGTTTAAAATACAGGGCAGATGAGGAAATGGAACTAGACAAAGATGAAAGGATCGTCTCCGTCACTCAAGATAAACTGCCATAAGGAGTGCTGCAAATTCGTCTGTAGCCTCTTCAAAAGGTTATGCACAAGTCCAGGATAAGATACGGATACTACTTATCACTGTGTTTGTTACTGTTCTTGGTTACTGTATTTGTTGCCTGGATATGTGCTATATCAAGAGGCACAAATGAGAAGAAAGAAGTGCATTGCATGGGTAACTGCACGTTGAAGTTTGTTTGCAACAAACAGACGAGGTGCACTGCTAAGGTGAGGCAGCAGAGCATCAGAGCAGGCGTTCCTTTGAAAGTTGCCTTGATCTGCCCCTTATTCAACCTTCCACCATCTCAGGCCTGTCTTCTCTTCTTCATCTTCTATCATCCACACAGTAACACTATCTACCCAACAGAAACAAGCCTTAGTCCAAGACACTGTCTCTATCGCAACACCGTCCCATATCCCAACTTTCGTTAACTCCTGAATCTGCACTATGGACAACATGCCAGCGCTCCCCGCGCAAATTTGGGCTCTGCTGAAAGTCATTTGCTCCAGCGGCGGCTTGATTACCACTGATTTATGCAAAAGTTAGTAGGGATTTGAGCCCTGTATTACGGAATCTACTAATCACATATCACTTAGGTTTCCTTTCGCCTTGGGCCCGGAGTCTGACGAATAATGCTTTATTTAGAAGCGAGTTTTCTGAATTCCTTAGAGCTGCCTTGGTGTGTTACGGAGGGACTTTCTGCGATCAGTATGGAACTTGCCATTCCCTAGAGAAACCGGACTTTTTCATTTTTCGCAATGTCAAGTATACATGCTCTGTTTGAGATGGCAAGGATATTTAGTATGAGACCGCCATATCAGATTTGGGCTTCCTTATGTTAGCTAATATCCTTGACCCTCGGAAAGCCATTGATATTTTGTCTTTAGCGGGGATTGTGCTAAAAACGAGTCCCTGAAAATAGAATACTTGACTCTATCTTCTGCTCTCCCTAAACCTTTGATGTAATATCCGTTGAGTGGCATTCTTTGTTGGTAGCGTGTGTTGCATCCTGTTTTATGAATATCTTTGTTAACTTAGAATATTTCAACTCTTGATTGATTACTTTTGAGCGGATTGCTATCAATTGAAGGTGTTTAGAACCTTGCTGTTTGTTTTGTTTCTCAGTGTATTGAGGCAGAACTGCAGTCTTGATGTATCTTGAATTTGTGCAAACTCAACATGATGGTTACAGAACGCTTGCCTATGTATACAGAGACACAAAGACGAAAACTCCAACAACTGAGATAAGTCACCTTAAGCCAAACAGTCTAATTAACAGTGTCAATGTCGACTTTCGCTGCCTGACTTGAGATATGAGCTCCTTCTTAATGCCACCAGCCGCTTAAATCCCTTCTCTTACTTATAACTCTGTCGCCTCAAACACATAAAAAAGGAAACCAGCAATAGCCTTCAAGATACCAACCCCAAAACTGCCTCATCGTCCCTCACGTCAGATTGCTTCACTCCTTCTTGAGCACTGACTTAGCATTTTCACCATGGCATGGTTCACAATCATCCTTCAGGCTTTTGGCTTTACACCCAGTGGTCCGCTACTAGGTTAGAAACTACTCTCAAATATAGGAGTTACTATGCTAACTTGGGCGTCACTAAGGATCATTCGCGTCTTGGGCTCAGGGCTTGATAGGCAATGTTGCACCTGGAAGCACTCTTTGCAATCTTTCAGAGTGCTGCCATGGGTGGCTACGGAATCGATATCTTGGGAAGTGTAACCAATATGTTTTCTGCCCTCTTAGGTGGCGGCGCATTTGCACGTTTCGTGTACTCAGCTTTTGGCCAAGCGAGAGAAGCTGGGAATGGCACTTATGCTGGTTGAGAAACAACGACAGATTTCTCCATCTCTTTTGCAGTTTTTCTCGACAGTGTGACAGTGTGCCTTCACCTTATGTCTCTGAAAGCCTCTGGATTAGTTGAACAGTTTTGTAGAGCAGAGTTTGAATCAAATACAGTGTTACCTCTACTCATCGTATACAACCTCACTAAGAAGGACGTGACCGCTCCTACGGTATTTGCATATTGCATGTACTGCCCTTTCTGTGAATAAGTTGACGTGCTGCTACTCTAGTTTCGCAGGTTTCTATCATTCAGTGTCGAGACCGATCTATATCAACTTCAAACACTCTTTTTGACTTTCATCTCAAACACTCTCTCATCCATTACTAGGAAACCACCTACCAAACTTCGGTCAATCTCAAACAACCCACATCATTCGATTCAGAATTGGAGACAAATATCATGCTCCCACCAGTCAAGTCGATTATGTTGGCGGTGAGTGTCGCTGAGCACACTAGCATTAACATCCATGTGTTGACAGGAGGACGAGGCAACCAACAGCACCCTTCAGTATGTAAAAGAGAACCCGGGATCCATAATGGCCATGGGATTAGGAGCTGGAATGGTCACTGCACCTGGTCTCGTGGTTGCACCCGCTATTTCAGCAGCCGGGTTTACTACAGAGAGTGTCTCTGCGGGTTAGTTTTATTAAACATTTCATGCCTACGGTAACTTTACTGAACTGTTACAAGGATCACTTGCTGCTGGTATCCAGAGCGTAAATGAGGACGTCGTGAGCAATAGCGCCTTTGCGATTTGTCAGTCATATGCAACTGGCGGCTTAGGCACTACCGCCATTCATGGTTTTGTACGGGGGACTGGGATTGGGGTCGGTCTTGGTTCCATATTTCCCCAGTGGAAACATGATGGTAAGCATTGTAAATCTGATTCTTTAGATAGCACAGATAGTTCAAAGTCGAATGATAGTGACCAGGAGGATAACACTGGGCTGAAGGTATAGCCTTGCCGGTAAACGGCACTTGTCACATCCTCTTGCATGCCCCAAATGAAGAATGCAATCCTGTAAGATGCCCTAACTTAAGAATATAATCTACTAAAATGCCCTAAATTGAGGATATAATCTTCTAAAACAGCTTGATAAGTGTCTGTGAATGCTAACTGAGAGATACAGAGCTCGCAAACCGAGGCGGTGTTTGTTTCTTCAAGACTTCGGAACCATTAGGGACCCGGTCAATGATTGGGGATGATCAGGTAGGTAATATGTTTCAATTGATTTTCCAAGTTATTTCAAGTATTGAAAGGCCGAATCGGTGGTTACTTATTCCAGTTGATGGGCCAGCCATGCTCCTTGTTCGAGTTGGACATACCGCCAATGAGAGAGCATCATGAATTAATTGCTTGACGTTGGTTGGGAGAAACTCACTTACATGAGGCCGCATTCACTGGGCCTTTGTTATTTGCACAGCCCCAGGTAGGTCGTGGATTGGGCTACCAAACTAGATGGTAGTGAATGAACCAACAGTGCAGTTGCCTGCCAGCTGGTTATTGTCTAAAGTAATATTCCTCCACTGCCTTCATTTCTGATTCTTTTTCTTTTCTCATCCCAAAACACCCCAAGAGTCAGAAAACACTGACACATTTTGGACTATCGACCACTTATCTTCTTTCCATCTTGTGAGTGAGTGAAACCACAGTCGACTCGAGACACCAGCTAACCATGAAATGTAGTCTCCCACTCGGAAGATGCAACTTCTGCAGAATATGACCTCAACAGCAATGATAGCCACCGGAGCAGTACTGGCCATAGCCCCCGCTGTCGCTGTAACCCCCGTGTTGGCTGGCTTAGGCTTTGGTGCCGGTGGCATTGTCGCTGGTAAGTTTCTTCTTGCTTTTCTTCACATATGCTAACTCTATATGAGGTTCAGCTGCCGCTGGTATCCAGAGCGGCATTGGCAGTGTCGTAGCAGGTAGCGCCTTCGCCACTCTTCAGAGTGCTGGTGCTGGGGGCTTCGGCCTTGCTGTTGTCAATGGTGTTGTTCAGGCCGCCGGAGTTGTCGTGGGTGGCAGTGGTGTTGCTACCAAGCTCAAGGGCCAGGGTAATGGAGACAACGACAACGGAGATCAGGAGGAAACTGATGGCACCCACGATGGAAACGATGCTGAGGAAATGGTTTCTAAGTTGAAGAAAACCTGAGGCGACGGATTAGGGGATAAGGACACGTCTGGCTAGTGAACGATGGATATCGGTTATACACATCCTATCTCGATCGACTGGCTGCACAAAGTTTAGCAATGCTCTGGATATCTTTTGATCCTAGATGACTGCTAGTTTGATAGATGACAATGGATAATTCTCATCTCCAATAAAGATAAACGAACCCATCGTCTAACAGGTATCCCCCTATGCGTATCTTTGTGCCTGTTTGAACCACAAGAACGAAGGCTAGCGATTCTGGCTCTGCCGCCCTGTATAAGATTACTGGTGTCTTCACCTTAAATGGCATTGTAAATGCTCGTATAGTGCTTGGTCTCTATCATACGTTCTATTAGTAGTTAGGATGCTTGATGTTGCAGGCAGATCGTAAGGTGACAGTGTTGCAGAACACTCGGGCATTAAGGGCAACAGGGTACACAATCGCAGTTTTCAAATTGTAGTAAAAGCCTAAGTCATAGTCTTTGATATCCTTGAATGATTTCAGGTTTGTTGCTAGACGTAGTTGGTGGCTATTAGTTTGACACTCCCGGTTTTCTCAACACCTCCTCGATTTTATATATTCACATACAAGTAGTTATCCTGTAAATTTAACTAACTCTACCTCTATGGAATAGAGTCTCTGTATTCTTTCCGTTTCATGCTGATTGCGCAGATCTGGAAGCTGTGCATTAAACAACCCCTATGACTTTTTGATCCCAGCCGTGTGCACTTCGAAAGTGAACATGCCGTCGATAATGGGTGCAGAAGCGCACCCATGGAGGCTTCGTGTCATGCAGTGCCACTGCGAAGAATAGGTACCTAGGTAGGTGATGCTGAATCACTGTCACACACTGCCTGCCACTGTTACACCTCGTGCCCTGCCTTAGGCATCTTTCTCTGCCTTGTGCCCTAAATCTGCACTGGCTCTTATTTGTGATCTCGTTTTCTGCTCTCCTTCTCTCCTCTTCTTTCTTCAACAGGTAGCCACATCTTAAAACACAACACAACGCAACATAACACAACACACAAACATACCTGCCTGAAATATCCAACATGTCAACGTCATAGAATGACCAACAAAAGGGTGTCGCTTCCTTGTCGCCCGAGGACGACAATAAGCCCAATGGTGAGGGTGAGGGTGAAGTCCCGCAGAGTCACGTTGAGCGTGAGCTAATGCGATTTCGCCGGGTAAGATATCACAAGTCAGCATCTTGCCAAATCTCTATTATTGACAACATATTCAGCTCAAAGACGACTTCTTCCGGCCTGCTGCTGCTGCAGTCGTGGAAGAACCCAAGGCTCCCAGGAGGGACCGCAACTTCAAGCGACTGTGTCGCAAGTTTCGTAAAGGCTACTGCCGCCGAGGCGCATCTTGTGATTTCTATCACTTCGTGCCTTGGGAAATGCCCGGTAGGGAATATACAGACCATCCTGTGGATCTGTACTTCGCCAACTTCAAAGGGTTTGATCACCAACGCCAAAGGCCCTTTTTCGATGAGTTCTATCGCATGTGTGATCACTTCGGCTGGTCTGATGACGAGGCCACTGAGCCTTGGTACAATTTTCGCATCGTGCTTGTCCAGGAGTTCAACTACGTCTTTGGCGAAGACGAGGAAAATCTGCAAAACTGGAAAAAGATGTTCAAAATCATCGGTTTATCCGAGCCAACTTCTCTCAGCGAAGCACACACAGTAAGTGAAATCCTTTACCGTTGCCATTTTCAACCATAAACTCACGATGAAATCAGGTCATGCGTCCAACTCGTGTCAACCTCGTGGACATGCTTCAGTCAAGTCGTACCGGCGAGCCAGTTCAACGCTTCGAGACTCTGAGGGGCCTCAGCGTTTACTCCTACAGTGGAGGCGAGGTCTTGGATGATGGTGATGACTTCCTCGAGCATAAAGATCTCCATAAGGATGAGGATTTCTACAAAAAAAAAGCGCATCCGCGACGACAAGATCTTTCCTAAAGAGGAGGCGTACGCCGGTGGGCTCTTGAAGATGATGCTTCGTGAGATCTCGTTCAAGAACGAGTATCGGGGAACCAGGCTTGGAGGTACTGAGCTGGGTCATGGCTCCTCAATGTCCTAATCGTGCCATGCTGTTACCAGCTACGCCACCATTGCCATCACCATTGCCATCGCCATTGCCATCGCCACCATTCCCTCTTTGGAGGAATTCTTCCTGCTCTTCTGTCCTACGCCTAAAACCATCAAGCAGATTCTTTAGCGCCAGCCAACAATTCTTCTTCTCCTTCTTTTGAGAGGTTTCTTCTTCTTTTCTCTGGCGTGAGCCACAACTTCAACAACATTTCTTCTTCATCTCATCGGTGAAACCCTTCTTCTTCTATCAAACGCCTAATATCCATCGTCAATCAGTTTCCTGGCGTGAGCCACACTTTCACCATTCTTCTTTCTTTGGCGCGAGCCACCAATTCTTCTTCTAAAAGAGATCTTCTTCTGGCTGAGGCCTAACACGCTTCACCTTGCAACTTCTTTGGCGTGAGCCACCCTTTATTCTTCTCCTTTACTTCTTGATGATTGCAACTGGTGCGAGCTTACCGCTTTCTTCTTGAACCATTTTTTGGCGTGAGCCACACCTTCTTCCTGTTGTTTCTTTGGCGCGAGCCACACCTTCTTCTTGTTGTTTCTTTGGCGCGAGCCACCCTTTCCTTTTCTTCTGCTCCTCCGGGTTACGGAATCTTAGGGATGCCTGAGAAGCTTGTGGTTTCGCGACCCAAGTGGAGGTACCATGACGACGGCTGGCACCTTCACGTGGTGTTATGGGTCAGTACAGATGATATTTCCTCTGGAAGCTAAGACCAGCCGACTGTGCAGTGTCAATCTGGTTGCACTATTTGTGAGTTTGATACCCTGACAGATTCCAGAACCAAGCTCGAGCATATGGCTAACGGTATGCTTCCGTGTGAGACAGTACAGGAACACGACATATTTACCTGCATCGCTCCGATGGAACTTGATATCCCTGTGCCATATAGCATAAGCAACACTCACTGGCCCCGATATTATTGCTTTATGTCTCAAGATGTTTGCCTTTGTGAAACCAAGACCAACCATAGTTACTACATCTGGGCACAGCATCTACAGACTTTTACTTAGATAGTCATCTGAAGAAAGCATGCCAGGAGAATTATGGAGCCGAGCTCGTTAGGAAACAGGGTTATCGCTTTGCGTAAGCATATGGTCAATGATTTCGTTCAGTCTCAATTAACCTCCATGTCTATGCAGTCTACCAGTCTGTATTACTTTGATGATATTTACGTTACTGTCTTGTCTACTATATGCCCTAAGAATCGACTCCCCGCTCATCTTCTTTCATTCTCCTGTCGAGCCCAGTGTGCCACATTCTCAAAAGGGCACGAATATCCTCATCCCGAAGATCAAGACAAGATATACAATGTCCCTGCCGGTCACAACAGATGCCGAACCTGAACTTGCCTCGACCGTGATAAAAGACCCTTGATAGATGTTCAAAGTAGTCCCCGGGGGTGTCATGTGTTTTCTGAAGCTCTGGAAGGGCCGTATGGATGATCTGACCAAAGAATGATGCGCCTACCTATAGTCAGTACGAGACTTTGTGTGGTATGATGGCCGATCTACCTCCGATAACGGCAAAGAATGCCGTAGCAAGAGCACAGCCCCAGGCTTCTCGTGGCATTTGGATTGGCGAGTTTCCAATCAGAAGCAAACCTATGATAAGAGCGGTAAGGCAGATGGTGGTGAGCTCCATGGTGTAGGCTTGAAAGTGTGCTGTTGAACAGATGGTTCTCCTACAAAGAAGAATAAATAGATGGTAGAAAATTAATAGCTCTTGTCATTACCTCACATCACTCATTTCATAATAAACAAAGAACTATTTTTCGTGTTGTCACTGCAGATCTTCCTTTGTTATGCTGTAGCGACCAACGTGCAAGGTCTTCAACGAACAAAGCCCAGACACCTACCTATCGGGTGGTTGCAGATTTTAGGTAATAAAACGTCGACATCAGAGTATCATCAGACCTATCAATGACCTCTTCCTCAGGTCAGAGTACTTGTAAAGTGTGTGGTTTTAAGATGTGCTGACTTCTACATCTCTCCGATGCAAAGGTAACTTGAGGACAGTACCGTCTATTCTCCTTCTTTTTTTGGCCCATATGTTCAGATCTTCAGATCTTTTCCCTCCGAAAACCATCTACTTCTTCGATACACTAAAGGCACGAAAAGACAAACTCGTTTGGTTAAGCATAGAGCACATTCATCATATCCCAGTCTCTAACTCAACCCTCAAATGGATTCGTAGTCTCAACGCTTGAATGCTCCATGTTCAAGACTGTTGAGAGTCTAGTCGCGAGCATAGTCACGTCAATGTCCAGCTTTTCCAAGCCAGCGCTTCCTAAATACAAGTCAGTCACTCTGTTGCCGCAAAACATGCCTGATAGAAATACCAACGCCAATCGCGACGCTACCAAGAGCCATAGTTCCGATACGAGCTTTAGTGTTTCTCGTCTTTGAGCCCATCATGATGATCCCAATGCCAAATGCAGTGAAGTTGTTGCTGGCTTTAGGCGGTTCCTTGGATCCTGGGGGAGTTTCCATACTGATGAATGTGACGCTTTTACCAGATAGAAAGAATAGGAGAAGCGGGATAGCTGAGGATCTGAGATAAATTTCCAGAGGTCAACAGTATTTATATTCATAGAAAAGTCACTATTTCTTCACCCAGGGACCTCCCCTTTTTGAAGCATGAAACTATTCACTTTGCCATGATGCATCCAACAAAGAGCATGAAATTCACCGTTGAAGAAATCCCAAGAACAATGCCGCTAGGCCTCAAAAGCTTCCAATTTTCGTAGTACTGCTGATAATATAACTCCTTCACCTGGTCTTCTAATTATGAGTAACCCCTTCAACTTCCCCTTCGTCCTCGCTTCATCGGTGGCGGTGACCGAGAAACACTATCGCTATGACGTCTCCTCTTTGGCGGCACAGGGCTCAAAGACTTCTTTGCCCCACGGCGCGGGGGGCTAGGTGACCGCGAGTATGAGGCTTGGTGACCATTGCGCGCAGGTGGGGGCGATACGCTGTCTGGCCTGGCTCTTCTTGGAGGCGGGGATCGCGAATCGTATGAAGGAGAGCGACTGTATTGCTTGCCAGCATCTCGCGGTCCATCACTGACGGAAGAGCTGTTGCGCCGATGTGAGGCTGGACCGGCATTTCCACGCGGTCGGCCTCGTCGAGGTGGGCTGCCAGAGTATGACCTCTCCCGTTTTCTCACAGGAGAAGGAGATCGGCTCTGGGAATCATATGAGCGGCTTCGCCCATCTCGAGCTGGAGGGAGCGGTGATCGTCCTTCCGAAACGAAGGAGTTCTTGCGTCCACGTGCTTGACGTGGAGGTGTACGGGAACGGCTTCGAGATGAGTATGAGGCGCTGCGAGCCCGACCCTTACCGTTTCGTGGGGCAGGAGATCGTGAGCGGCTCTCACTATCGTAACGACGTCCTCGCCGGGGAGGACTTGCAGAGCGAGACTCGCTGCGTCCCCTTCCTCGTGCAGATACAGATCTTGAGTATGACCTTGATCGCGACGAACTGTATGAACGTCCCCGGCTTCTTCGATCAGGAGACCGAGAAAGAGATCTTCCTCGGTCAGCGACCTTACGTGGTGTCCGCGATCTAGATCGAGATCGCGAGTAAGAAGAGCCCGTGTACGACGAGTAGCTTGAAACTGAATCAGAGTCTGAATCTGCCGCAGGGGGTGCAGGTAAAGCAGGTTTGGGCATGTTTTGTAGGTAGGTTCGCATCTCTTCTGTGAGAGCACCCATACCAATACTTGTAAAATAGTTGATGGAGAACCTGATGTTGCGGGGGTTGTCCTTGGGGAAGAGGCCTTCCAGGTTGGGGCGCAGGGTTTCGTCTGTCATACGTGCCCTCAGCTTGGGCATACCGGTTTCCTCTGCGATGAACTGAAACAGGATCTTGATAAAGATACGGCTACTGGATGTGGTCTCGTCCTCGTTCAAGTGAATGACAGATAGACAGTGCCAGCCCAGGGCGTCTGAAGCGAACATGTGACCAAACAACATCGCAATATTGCGCAATTTGTTGTTCTCGTATCGATGGATAGTGTCGTAGTACTTGGCAAAAGCCTGCTCAAACAGGTCGCACCACAGTCGGTTGATCTTGGCGAAGCGCTCACCAATCATACCAAAGAACTTGGTGTACGTCTTTTCTTGTGAACAGCACTCCACGATCATGGAGGGAAGTTCAGGTTCCTGACCGGCAGGGAGATTGATCTTCATGAGCTTGTGAACAGCTTCCTCAGGATCGGCACTAGACATGATAGTGAGATAGATAGTCCTTCGTAGGTTGACCAGATCGGCATTAGACTGGTCCTTGATTTCCATGGCTTTCGTCTTCTCGTCCTCTTCGTCTTCGGACGAACTCTCGTATTCATCCTCGTCATCCTCGTCGTCGCTACCTTCGCCTAGGATCTCAGCCTTCAGCTTCTTGTACGCCTCTTCATGCTCCTCCCACTCCGGGTCGAATTTGAAAATGTTGAGTCCATCTTGCACATCAATTTCACCCTCCAGCTCGATTCGATGTGTGATTTGATCCTCCTCTTCCACCAAGTCCAACTCCTCCTTGACAGCTGGGTTGTCCTTGAATTTGTCCTTGCGCACCTGGAACAACACTTCGATCATGTACTGGGTTCGCTTGTCGATATCGGCTTCGTGCAGAATGTTTCGAAATTGGTCAAATACAGCCATGGCAATAGACGGCTGCATCTCCTCCAGATATTGCCCAACCTCTCGGCAGAAACCAACCGCAATCTCAACGCTGTCGTCGGTCGGCTTATGAAGCAGGAGAAGAAGAATCTGACCGGCGAGCATTTCATGTTGAACCTGCTGGTTGATGAGATGCGCCAGGAAGGTAGTCGAGGAAAGGCAGACAGCCTTGTCGTTTCGCTTGAATCCCTTTCGGAACTGCATGACCAAACGACGAACCAGGAGCTCGCCTACCTGGGGTAGCTTGGTGTTGACGATAGCAGCCATAGCAGCATAAATCGGTGTGAATGGTAAACTGGCAGCCTGGGCCTTCATGATCGATCGACAAAACAAACCGCGGCCTCGGATCAGATTCTCTCCAAACAGCTCGGGAACGATGAACTTGATGTTTGCAGTGTTGACCTTGTTGATCAGACCATTGATACTCTTCTTGAGCGCCTCCCATGCCATGCGCTGATACTCCTTGCTCGTTTTATCCGTGATCTGGGCCTGGAGCGCGCGCAGTCGAGCGGGTGGAATATATGTACCGCCGGATCGCATCGTGAGAAGCTTCTCGTACTCTGCCTTTGCAGCCGCTTGTTTCTCCTCTTCGGTTCGCACAGGGACAGCTTCTCGTTTTTGCCTGGGAGAGGCTGATCGCTGGTCTCTTGCAGGACGATATGAATCGCCATCACGCTTGTCGCTGCGATCGCGGTCCCGACGCGGGAGATCGACCTCGGCGGAAGCCATCGTCAGAAAATTGCACTCGCAGTTGCAGTCGCGATCGATTTATTATGCCGTGCCAATTACTGCGTCCTGAATTTCGATGGCGCGGGGGCGAAAGTCTTTGCGAGCCGAGAAAGATGTCGTTGCTAGCTTCGTCGCGCGCGAAGTAAGGTTAAGTTTGAAAAAAGATGTTCAGCCACGTTTAGAGCTCCAAGGTCATGTGGCTGTGCAATTGTGGCGCTCCACCTTTAGTCGTCACGCCTCCTGAAGCGTCCCTAAAGCCAACTGGACTTTTTGACAGCAACCATTTCACCACCGAAAGATACTGCCACTACACTCCTTTATTTCTATTTCTCGGCCTCAATCTTCATCTCTGCTCAACAAAGACTACGCTCGCTCGCTTTTCGCATCTTTGACAATGGTAAGCAGCATCACCTATCAAGGCCTGATTTACACGCTGTCCCCTTTACGCGCTTCAGACCGGGGCATCGTGGCAGCCCCTCGTGGTGCTTCAACTTTACTAACATAATAATTCTTGTTGCAGTTGGACAAAATCGTCGGTCTCGCCATGCTCGTGGCCGCTTCCGTCGTCTTCACCTACTACACCATCTGGACTCTGCTCATGGTAAGATGCCCCTCATTTCTCAGCTTGATGCGACTATACACCTCTACCTATCTATGTACACCCAGCTTAGGTATTGAACACATTGTCAACTAACAATTGATTAGCCCTTTGTCGACGACGATCACCCTCTCCAGAACTTCTTCCCCCCTCGTGTTTGGGCCATTCGCATCCCCGTCATTATCATCCTCCTCGGTTCCGCTGTTGTTGGCTCATTCCTCGGCATGGTTATGATTCGGAGCAACCAGAAGAAGGCTGCAAAGGCCAAGGCTGCCGCGAAGAAGGCCAACTAGACGACAACATGTCGATTATATACTAGGAATCATTCAGTGTCTTTTAATGGCGTTGTTTCGCCCAAGACCTAACCACACTATGGGACTTCAAAGCTTCAGGCCAACGTCTTAATGCAGAAGAGATGAACACTACAGGAAATGGGTATCTAATCTTTTTCTATTTATAATAAGGCATTATGACCTGCTAAACGACCGTGCTAAAGAGTGTTTCTTCCGTACAAGCAAAATGCCCACATATCAGAATCAAACTCCAACATACCGGACCAAGAGTTGAGTTGAGCGTAGCTAATCATGCTTCACACGAAAAGATACAAACTTTGCTCCATACCGCCAAACAGCTTAAGCAATGAGTTGCCATTCCAGCTTCGTATGCCTATAATCAAGCAAAGCCAAGGACCTAGACGCCAACCTCAAGCGCACATTGTCTGTCTGAGAATTCTTCTCATACTCTCTGATCTGCAAAGTCCAGGACTTCACAGTCATCCTCAAAAAAACCATCCTCACCTTGACTTCCACCTTGCGCTCCACGTCGTCTCCTCGTAGTCACCACGATCTGCTCCTGGTCGCCATACTGCATCACTCGCTCCATCGCTGAAGGTGGCAATGCGATATGGTCTTCGGGGCCGTCGTACTCCTCCTCAGCAACTGTTGGCAAGCCTAAATCCAGTCGGACCACTGGAATATCCTGACCAAAAGCCCAGGCCGTCGTGTTTGCGAATTCTTTGGATGAATTTGGTTCCATGGGTTGCCCCTTCTTTTTCTTTTTCTTGGAAGTAGTGTTTTCGTCTAGACTTGTCTCGGCAAGTATAGCTGAGACAACTTCGAGCTGATCAGCTGTTCCTCTCCGGTACTCACAGAGAGTTACTCGTCGATCCGTGTGGAAAGGTTGGTAGGGTGCACTAGACTCTATCTCAGCCTGAGGGATTGACGATTCCATAGTCTGATCTGTTGCCGCAACACGAGGTCGGGGGTTCAGCGTCAGCGTGTTTCCTGCATCCATATCACGGTCCGAAAGGTCGAGGATTTCATCCTGAGCTCCCAGGTCAACCATCTGTCGTACAGCTGGAGCAACCAAGTCGCTGGGTAGGGTCGGCACATTGTAATCATGATACCTGCTAGCTCGTGTGACTCGCCTGCCAGCCTGCACGCTAGATCGGCGTGTTCGACATGAGAAGCCTCGTACTAGACCGTT